AATCAGGCAGTGAACACAATAGAATCAGGAAACAAACACAATAGAATCAGGAAGTGAACACAATAGAATCAGGCAGTGAACACAATAGAATCAGGCAGTGAACACAATAGAATCAGGCAGTGAAAACAATAGAATCAGGCAGTGAACACAATAGAGTCAGGCAGTGAACACAATAGAGTCAGGCAGTGAACACAATAGAATCAGGCAGTGAACACAATAGAATCAGGCAGTGAACACAACAGAATCTGGCAGTGAACACGATAGAATCAGGTAGTGAATACGACAGAATCAGACAGTGAACACAATAGAATCAGGCAGTGAACACAACAGAATCAGGCAGTGAACACAATAGAATCAGGCAGTGAACACAATAGAATCAGGCAGTGAACACAACAGAATCAGGCAGTGAACACAACAGAATCAGGCAGTGAACACAACAGAATCAGGCAGTGAACACAATAGAATCAGGCAGTGAATACGACAGAATCGGGCAGTGAACACAATAGAATCAGGCAGTGAACACAACAGAATCAGGCAGTGAACGCGATAGAATCAGGCAGAGAATACGACAGAATCAGGCAGTGAACACAATAAAATCAGGCAGTGAACACAATATAATCCGGCAGTGAACACAATATAATCCGGCAGTGAACACAATAGAGTCAGGCAGTGAACACAATAGAATCAGGCAGTGAACACAATAGAATCAGGCAGTGAACACAACAGAATCAGGCAGTGAACACAATAGAATCAGGCAGTGAACACAATAGAATCAGGCAGTGAACACAATATAATCCGGCAGTGAACACAATAGAATCAGGCAGTGAACACAACAGAATCAGGCAGTGAACACAATAGAATCAGGCAGTGAACACAATAGAATCAGGAAACAAATACAATAGAATCAGGAAACAAACACAATAGAATCAGGAAACAAACACAATAGAATCAAGCAGTGAACACAATAGAATCGGGAAACAAACACAATAGAATCAAGCAGTGAACACAATACAATAAGGAAACAAACACAATAGAATCAGGCAGTGAACACAATATAACCAGGCAGTGAACACAATATAACCAGGCAGTAAACACGATAGAATCAGGAAACAAACACAATAGAATCAAGCAGTGAACACAATAGAATCAGGCAGTGAACACAATAGAATCAGGCAGTGAACACAATAGAATCAGGCAGTGAACACAATAGAATCAGGCAGTGAACACAATAGAATCAGGAAACAAACACAATAGAATCAGGAAGTGAACACAATAGAATCAGGCAGTGAACACAATAGAATCAGGCAGTGAACACAATAGAATCAGGCAGTGAACACAATAGAATCAGGCAGTGAACACAATAGAGTCAGGCAGTGAACACAATAGAGTCAGGCAGTGAACACAATAGAGTCAGGCAGTGAACACAATAGAGTCAGGCAGTGAACACAATAGAATCAGGCAGTGAACACAATAGAGTCAGGCAGTGAACACAATAGAGTCAGGCAGTGAACACAATAGAGTCAGGCAGTGAACACAATAGAATCAGGCAGTGAACACAATATAACCAGGCAGTGAACACAATATAACCAGGCAGTAAACACAATATAACCAGGCAGTAAACACAACAGAATCAGGCAGTGAACACGATAGAATCAGGTAGTGAATAAGACAGAATCAGACAGTGAACACAATAGAATCAGGCAGTGAACACAATAGAATCAGGCAGTGAACACAATAGAATCAGGCAGTGAACACAACAGAATCAGGCAGTGAACACAACAGAATCAGGCAGTGAACACTATAGAATCAGGCAGTGAATACGACAGAATCAGGCAGTGAACACAATAGAATCAGGCAGTGAACACAACAGAATCAGGCAGTGAACGCGATAGAATCAGGCAGAGAATACGACAGAATCAGGCAGTGAACACAATAGAATCAGGCAGTGAACACAATATAATCCGGCAATGAACACGATAGAATCAGGCAGTGAACACAATAGAATCAGGCAGTGAACACAATAGAATCAGGCAGTGAACACAACAGAATCAGGCAGTGAACACAATAGAATCAGGCAGTGAACACAATATAATCCGGCAGTGAACACAATATAATCCGGCAGTGAACACAACAGAATCAGGCAGTGAACACAATAGAATCAGCAGTGAACACAATATCATCTACGCTTTTGTCGTCAAATTCTTAACA